TCTAATTCGGGGTTAAGCGATATTTCACAGTTGAAAAAGGTGGATAGTAACATTGTAACCCTGAGTGATGAAGCGCACTTCCTGTGTGATACAGTATAACACTAGAATGTAACACCGAATCATTGAATATTAATGAGCTTTGTGCAATTGCAGGAATATTCACATGCTGTTTAGTTTCAGCATCTGAGGGAAATTAGTTAATTGAAGATTTTATTTTACAATTTTAATACAAGAAGTCTAAGACAAGCAGTTGTTAAAACAGTGGTTATTATGTTTGTCCAATCAGTGAATATGCAAATATGATAACACCCATTCAGAGTTGCAGTAGTGTTTTATAATTCTCTTGTTCAGATCTTAATTGTTTCCTGGGTAGAAATCGGTTCAAAATAAAGAAGTCCAAAGTGAAAATCTCTATTTGAACCGCATTGGTGCTTGATATTAAAACATCACTATCACGTCTCACACATAAGCGAACACAGACTTGACATTTGGTCGTGTTTTTTCTTTGGCTTGTTTCTTTGGAAGCGTTTCTGAGCTGATCACAGGAGAAAACCCCAAACAGAGGTGAGTCAGAAGTGGCTCTATTAGAGGACGAGAGCGCCACTGTGATTCAGAGCCTGTCCTCTGATAGTCTGATGTGTCATGATGGTTTGTTTCATGTGGCGGCAGCATTAATCCTGCACACTGACATCCTGATGGCAGCATGTGATGCTTTAATTAAAGCTGCCACACACACACACACACACACACACACATGCGCACACACAGTCAGGTAAATGGACTGCAGCGATTTCGGAAACACATTTCATGTCCTCTTTGCTCAAATTGGGTGAAGAATGTTTGATGCTTCTGTCATCTCTCTGTCTTGTATATATATTTAATTTATTTTATTTTACCTTATTCTGAGCAGAGTAGATTTGACATTTTATGAAGAGAACTTGATGCCATGATGCTGAGGTGTTGTTTGTGTTTCTGAGTGGTTGTTTGTTAGTGTGTTATGTGGTTACTTGGGTGTCTTGAGTGGTTGCTATTGTGTTGCTTTGTGGTTGCTGAGGTGTCTGATTGGTTGTTAGTTTGTTGTTAGGGTGTTTGGATGGATGTTAGTTTGTTGCTGTATGGTTGCTTTGGTGTTTAAACGGTTGTTAGTGTGTTGCTAGGGTGTTTAAGTGGTTGTTAGTGTGTTGCAAAATGGTTGCTATGGTGTCAGTGGTTGTTAGTGTGTTGCTAGGGTGTTTGAGTGGTAGTTAATGTGTTGCTAGGATGTCTAAGTTGTTGTTAATGTGTTGCTAGGGTGTTTGAGTGGTAGTTAATGTGTTGCTAGGATGTCTAAGTGGTTGTTCTTGTGTTGCTATGGTGTTTGAGTGGTTGTTAGTGTGTTGCTGTGGTGTTTGAGTGGTTTTTAGTGTGATGCTATATGGTTGCTATGGTGTCAGTAGTTGTTAGTGTGTTATGTGGTTACTAGGGTGTCTGAGTGGTTGCTAGGGTGTTGCTATGTGGTTGCTAGGGTGTTGCTAAGGTGTTTGAATGGTTGTTAGTGTGTTGCTGTACGATTGCATTGGTGTTTAAGTGGTTGTTAATGTGTTGCTAGGGTGTCTGAGTGGTAGTTAATGTGTTGCTAGGATGTCTAAGTGGTTGTTAATGTGTTGCTAGGGTGTCTGAGTGGTAGTTAATGTGTTGCTAGGATGTCTACGTGGTTGTTAGTGTGTTGCTGTACGATTGCATTGGTGTTTAAGTGGATACAGTAGCACTGCAAAACTTTACTGTACCAATAATGCATTTGTCACTGTTACTGTACTTCCTGAACGTCCTGAACATTTAAAGATATAAAAATGATGTTCATTAGAATGATGTTGACGATATTGTCAAATCTCTGAGTGTTTTGGGTTGCATGTTAACATGTAATTTGCCATCAGTGGGAATAACTCGTCCATCCTGCATTGTGGACATGCCGGCGCTCCCAATGACCAAAGCATCCAGGATGGACACATGTGGTGAGTTAATCTGCCTGTTTTCTCTTTTATTTCTTGATTGTTTTAGTCAGTTCTGTTCTGTATCAGTTTGTCTTGTTGATTGATGCTGGTTTGCAGTCAGTGTAGAGTTGAATATTTCTCTCTTCAGTAGTACTTCATCATCTCTTTATGAGCAGTCGCACACTGACCCCTGGTGGACAAGAAAACGAAAGACATTTTTCACTTTTTTTCAAGTACATGTTTTAGATATCAAGTGAAAATCAGGATGCTTGAATTATTATAAAGTAGCAGCTGATTTACTACAGTCAAAGAGCTTTTTAGTTTATATTTACATCCGGCATAATCCATCTAAACTTACAGTTTTCATACTTTGAAAATCTTTATTTTAAAAACCACTACACATCCCTGGAAGATATTATGTTTTTCATATCTGCAGCAAAATGTCCATAAACAGTGATAGTGATACCTAGATTTAAGGTAGATGAATTGAGCATTTAATAAATATACTAAGAGTTATAAATAAGAAATGCTATTTTTTCAATTCTAAAAATGAATTCTTTCCTGTGCTGTAATTATAGTATGCTTTGTTTAATTTTATTTATGTTTTGCTCATTTCTACTTATTGTATTCTATGTAATGTTTTCTTATTTATTGCCACGGAATATAAAAATAAAAAATGTAATTGCAAGTTTTTATCCCACAATTCTGACTTTTTCCTCACAATTCTTAGTTTATATCTCACAATTTGGATTTTTTTTCTCACAGTCCTCAGAAACAAATTCAGAATTCTGAGATATAAACTCAGTATTGTGAGATATAAACCGTTATCCATCAATTAGCTATATTGCAATTCTGAGAAGAAAAGTGCAAAAGGGCATTTTTTATAACATTGTAAGTTATGTGTTAAATGGTTTGCTTAAATCTATAATGAAAGAAAGTGGACTTGTGCAAAGTCCAGAAACTCTGTACATTGTAAAAATGGAAAATAAATAAATAAAAATAATATTAAAAGCAGGGAATAAGCAGAATAAATGACTCAGTGACTCACTTATTAGGACAGTGGTTTGCCGCCACCTACTGGTAATTTTAGTTTCACATTTAAAAGTATCATTCTATTTTTTTTCTAGCATTTTTATTTCTATATAGCCGTTTTTATAGTTAAAACATTAATCTCATAATATTTGTTATGCAATTTGTAAGTGCAGTGTAATGTGCAAGTGCTAGAAATAAATTAAAAAAGTGTATATAACCCTGCATGTTTAATTAGGCTTATACTTGGCTTTTTTTAAAAGCCACTTACTCAATGTAAATATATATGTATATATATATATATATATATATATATATAAATAAATACATATATTCACAGATGAACAGAAAGTTCAAAAGAACAGCATTGATTTGAAATAGAAATCTATTTTCTAAAGCAACATTATAAATGTCTTTACTGTCACTTTTCATCAGTTTAATGTGTCCTTAGTCAATAAAATGAATTTCAAAGCTTTGAACAGTAGTGTATGTTGAAATTTGAGTTCTGTTATTTAAGAATGCACTTTCTAAAAGAACAAGTGCACGCTGTCTTTGATCCTGTAAAATGAGCTCTGACCTCAGTCTAATGACGGTCTCTGACCCTTCACTGATGCTCAGGTGTGAAGTGGACAGACATGCATCGTCTGGCAGACCGGGTTCACCTGGAGGAGCTGGTGAAGGTCGGGATCCTGCGTGGGAACGTGGAGGAGATGCTGAAGGTTCATCTGGGCTCTGTGTTCATGCCACACGGTCTGGGTCACATGCTAGGCATCGACGTCCACGGCGTGGGAGGATATCCAGAGGTCAGATCTGATCACATCAAAAAGGGAGAGATTCACTTAGACTACTTTTTCATGGTCATGTATACTGCTAGCATTTAGAGGTGATATGATAGAGGTGAATCTCAAGCGATATGCATCATTTTAATATTAGAGCTAGTAGTAATGATGTGTCACTACATCACAATGTTAGAGGCCTGATATGATAAAGATAAATCTTCAAATGTATTATTTACTTTTTATATGTGTCTTCATTTTAACCTTTATCTCCACATGAAATCCTCAATATCACTGCAAAATTATTTACTCATTTCAAATGAGAACTATTACACATTTTTTATTTTACCAGCATACATACTCACATAAAGCCATTTATACTTTATTGCAAATCTCAGTAGTTTGATTGTTTATATTTGCGCCACATGGAAACTATACTATTGTCCAGCTCTAAACTGTAAATTGCAACTATAAGGCATGGAGATATGTGACCCTGCAGCACAAAAGCAGTCTTAAGTCGCTGGGGTATATTTGTAGCAATAGCCAACAATACATTGTATGGGTCAAAATTATACATTTTTCTTTTATGCCAAAAATCATTAGGATATTAAGTAAAGATCATGTTCCATGAAGATATTTTGTAAATTTCCTACCGTAAATATATCAAAACTTAATTTTTGATTAGTAATATGCATTGCTAAGAACTTCATTTGAACAACTTTAAAGATTATCTTCTCAATATTTAGATTTTTTTGCACCCTCAGATTCCAGATTTTCAAATAGCTGTATCTCAGCCAAATATTGTCCTCTCCTAACAAACCATACATCAATGGTAAGATTATTTATTCTGCTTTCTGATGAGGTGTAAATCTCAATTTCGAAAAATTGACCCATATGACTGGTTTTATGGTCCAGGGTCGCATATCATAAATTATGTACATATATAATACACATATTATTTATAATATTACTTTACAATCAAAAGCACTGAAGCTCCATTGTTTCAGATATTATAAATCTACATTTCTGAAAGTTCAGACTTTATTTATATGATTATTGCTCCTCATGTGTGAGTCTCTCTGTCTCTCAGGTGTGTATTGAGGATGATATCGCTGTGACGGCTGACGGCGTGGAGCTGCTGACCTGCAGTCCTCGAACCGTGGAGAAGATCGAGGCCTTCATAGCGGATGAAACGCCCAAACCCTTCAGTCCCATCAGCAGCCAGAAACTCTGAAGAGATGACGACGATGATGATGATGATGATGATGATGAAACTCCTTTCCTCAGCATATCAGACTTTAACCTGTATCTAAAGAAACAAGCATCCTTAATATCTCACTCTATAAAGATAGATCAGTCACATGACAGCTGCCGTTTTGCTAAAAATAATTTCCCATAAACCATACTGCAGATGAATTCGAGGATCATTTATGCTTTCATGTAGCAATTTTCAGAGTTTGATATTCTTAATAAAAGCAGCTCTGAACTTTGTTCAGCCTGAATTAACAGAACTTCACTCAGTTCATTTGCATTATCTTCTGTACACTTTCAGCACGTTTGTAAGACAATGCAATGCTTATTTTTAATAAAGGTCTGATTTTTCTAGCATCATTTAGAATCGTGTGTGAAATGTAATTTACTCGTACAGAAAATTCTGTCGTTTAAATCCCATATGATGTGTTTTTGTCAAACTAGAATTGGTGGAATAGAAGTAAATAGAGACAAGAGGAGAAAAATCCTCACACTCCGTGAGGATTGAAGAAAATTGTCTTTTGGATTTTATCCTATGATTAGAGCTAAATATGTACATCTAAATGCATGAAATCATTATTGTCAGATTGTAGTGCTGATTTGAAATGTTACTATGAGTTTTCAGTCACATATTTGATTAAATGTAAATCTGGTGCAGCAGGTTTGACACTGAACTGGCTTTATCAGTCCTGTGGTTTAACTGCATCTCTGAAAATATGATTCATTCAGGAATACAGTAAAAATCATATGAAGTTCAACATCTGACACGACCAGACCTGCAACATACCTAATAGCCTCAGCCCTTACATGAAAATCAAACTTGATCAGAATCATTTCAGAGAAGAGCTGAAGTTTCAAGAGAAGAGCAGAATCACAAGTGAACTGCTGGAAGCAAACTAAAGAAACAAAACGACAACAAATGATGAAGTGTGTGAGACAAGACATAAAGGTTATAATCCACACAATTCACAGCCAACTGATTGCAGTTACAGCAAACCCTCAGTCCACTATGAAAAGCACATTGATCCTCTTGATGGTTTTCTCCCTGCTAACAGCTGAGGACTCGTGTGACTGTGAGCGTCTACATCTGTGAGCAGCTACTGCAAAGTTACTGGAACAATCCACAACGCTTGACCTCCCGTGAAAAGATCCCATCTCAAACAAACATTTACATTTATTCATTCAGTTGACGCTTTTAACCAAAACGGGGAACATCACAAGCAATTTGTCAATGCATGTTACCAAACAGTTTTGAAGATTAAATGATTCTCCATTCCAGTAGATACTGGCTGTACTTGTTTGCATACTGCATACGTGTAAAACAGTTTGAGTCTGAGGGTGTAACAGTACTAAGATTGCTGTTAAGTCACCTGACACATGAGAACAGGATGATTATTAGATACTTTAACATGATTTCTTCTTTTAACTATATATCTTCTGTGATTATGTGTGTTTGTTCACTTAGCTGTGGATTGGGGACAAATTGGAATAGGTTTTGTCACGGCTCTCAATGCAGTGCATTCATTAGGCACACTGGAGGACACACATAAGTATTTTTCACAGCATGGGTCATTGTGTTTTTCACCCCACTTCAGTATAATCCAGGGTAAAGAAATGTTTCACACTTATCATTTTTTTAACCCTGGGTTATGAACCGCTTTTGCAAGCCCCGATGGAAAATCATTTATGCTTTCCTGTAGCAGTCATTTTAATTTTCTTTAAATTTCACATTAAATGAAATATACTTCATTGTCCCTGATTGGGAAATTTGAAGTGGCCCCAACATCTCAACATAATTGATACTCCTAAAATACAAAAAAAAATAAAATAAAATTCCCAACCACACAGAAAAAAAAAAAAACAGTTAAGTAAGGAAGGCATCATACATTCATATTCACAATCTATCTGACACCAGCACAAATAAATTATTGAACCTGTTTAGTTTACAACGATGACCTCTATACCTTCTTCCAGAGGGTAACAGTTCATAGCAGGAATAAAGTACACGAGACGGATCACTTAAAACCTTTCTAGCCTCTTTCAAAGTACATTGTTCAAAAAGAGTCTGGATGCTGGGATAGTCTTTCTGTCCAGTCAGTGTCATTGCAGTATGTACAATGTACTTACACAATGTACAAAACACATTTAAATAGTATTATTATATATATTCTTAATAAAAGCAGATCTCAACTTTGTTCAGCCTGAATTAAAAGAACTTCCATCGTTGTGTAATTAAGGTTTTAAAGGGGTCATATGATGCGATTTCAATTGTTCCTTTCTCTTTGGAGCTGCATCACAAGCTCGCGATTATGGTAAGGGGCGTTACATTTACGACGCGTGCTTGTGGTATTCGGCCAATCACAATGCACTGGGTCAGCTGGCCAATCAGAGCAGATTGCGCTTGTCGGAAGGAGGGACTTTGTAGAAAACGAAGCGTTTGAGAGAGGCGGGGCATAGAGGACCTACAATAATGTACAGTATTTGAAAAATAATGTGTTTTCTGAACATTAAAGCATGTCAACATATTCTGTTACACCAAATACACCAAATAATGATCTTTAAAATAGCATAATATGACCCCTTTAAAATGTGATTTTTTTGCTGCTGGGGACTTATTAGAAATATTAGAATTGGATTGATTGCAAAGGATGCTGAGGAACCTAAGTGAGAATGAAAAAAGTTTAAGATCGGCGATTAGTTTTCATTTCAGAATCATACTAGGCTAAATGGTCAATCTTACTAATGACCAAAAATGTATTATATACCACTACTGTATTATAAAAGTAATCACAGTAAACCTGCACTTTATGTATTTTATACTTGAACTTGCTTACTACTGTAAGCACTGTGTGGTGAGGAGCAGTGATGCCACAGGACTGAAATGTGATGGAGCGTCACTTAACCATTTCTCCTGTGTTTTTCTCCTCTATCTTGCTTTCAGAACAAGAACCACCTGAAGTCTCATCTCACTGGGTTTTGCAAGTCTTTCCCTGTTCTTTGTGTCTTTGTGAAAAAGTGCAAATTCCCAAGTATGATTACATCATTTTGTTCTTGTAATCTATAGCTATATTTAGATAGAATGAATGATGAATGATGCATTTATATAGCGCTTTATTGTGTATTGTTGTACACCCAATCATGAGATTGCTCCTGCTGACCACATCCAGCCTCTTACGAAGAGGAATTCAGATGACACCAACTCTGAATAAACATACAAAAGTCTTATTTGTAATGTAGAGGCATTCATTTTCGGTAAAGCTGCTTTGAAACAATGTGTATAATAAAAAGTGTTATACAAATAAATGTGAGTTGAATAAAACTTGATGCATAATTTATTTTTTTCTCTCCTCTCCGCATCAGTAGGGAAACCATAAATTTATACTGCTTTCTGTGAGTGACTGGAGCATTCCCATGCAGCACAGCAAACTATGGTGGAGAATATACAAGGAAAACATGCTTTTCAGTTTATTATAAATGAATAAATCTGTTGCTTTAAATAAGTGTATAACAAATGCAAACGTACATAAAATATATGATGGAATGTGTAAAAACAATGTTTTAAGTTGTTTTAAATTGGAATATATTTATATATTAATAATTGATGGGTGCACAAGAATCGAAAACATTAAACAAGATAAATTTTCACTTAATTTAATCTTAAAATTCACTTATTTGGAATGAATTTTCTAAGACAGCACACTAAACATTGTGTCATTCAAATTAATTAGGCCCTCAGTTACCAGTATATAAAACAACATTAATATAACTACATACACAGTCAGTGATGGGAAGGTTACTTTGGAAATATAATGGGTTACAGATTACAAGTTACCCTATCTTAAATGTAATAAGTAGTGTAACTATTTCAATTACTTTATTAAAGTAATGTAACTGATTACTTTTGAACACATTTTGATTACTTTTCTAAATTTCTAACAAATGTTTTGGTTACACTTTACTTGAAGGGGTGTGCATAAGACTGACATGACAGTTTTCAACTATTAATCAATTTGAAACATGTAAAGCAGGCAGGGTTAACTTTACAGTAGTTCTCAACACTGATTACTGTCAGACTTTCAAAATCCTTCATTACTTGAATTAAGATTATAAGCATTTAATTTTAAAGCATAAATATGTCTATGAAAGATAGTATTACTTTGTGAAAAGATAATCACTATGCTGAGAGATAAAAAAAAATTAGTAACAATGTTCGAATTTGAAATCAAAATAATGGTGGTAAACAGTCGCGGATCATAGCGCACTGAGCACACTAAATAAAGCACACTGAGCCCGTGCTGCTTCTGCACTGCATAGGCTACGAACCGCACACGGACTGCACTGCAAACGGATCCTCGCTTAATTTCGTTTACTCTTTGCTGATATACAGCACTCAACTGCCATGCACTATTCATACGGACCATGTGACGTCACTGTTCTTTATCGCCGCCATATTTGTGTCCGGGTCACAGTTGCGCGACCTGTTTCAGTCTATGGTCACAGCAACCACAACTACCAGAGGAAGATCAACGAAACACTCCTAGAAGGTTCACAACAAGTTTACAATATGCCCGGGATATGTTGTGCTGTTAGCTGTAACAACAGTCATCAGAGAAACCACAAACTACAGTTTTATTAGATCCCAAAGGAGTTAGATTGGCGGAATAAATGGTTGGCTTCAATCAGAAGGGACCACTGTCTGGCAGCTAGGGTTGCCAACAGGAAAATAAGGAACAATTGTAATTTATAGGAGAATAAGGGACGCTAAAATATTTGAACTGTATACAGTGTATGTCATTTCCATGTCTGCAGTTAAGTATTATAAAAGGTGTATAAAAGGTTCTCAAAAATAATCACATTTGATTTGCTTAACCTATTTATGAACAAATCTAAAAAGAATTTTAATGCCATACAAAAAAAGTCACACGTTACACACAAACCATCGGCCTGAGTAAATTGTACCATTGTGAATTGTGACTGCACAAGTGGCGATTTAGGAGGTGGATATACTGTGAAATATAGCCTACATACATATATAGGCTATGGCATAAAATTTGAAAGCATATCAACTGAAAGTCTGAAACGCCAGTCAGTTAAGCATTTTTTTGGTTTTTAAACAATGGCAAATTTTTTAA